TTGTAGTGTGTGAAGTGTGGGTATTTCCAACTTATGCAGTCTATGAAATGCAAGAAAGGGAAAAGGAGGGGAAGTAAATAAAAGAAAAAAAAAAAGACCAATAATAATGATGATAACAACAGTACTACTAATAAAAATCAGCTTGTTACATTTCTATAGGTTGGTGGGAACGTGCGTGGCCTCAGCCCCGGGTATTTGATTCAAGTTGAAATGTGTTAAAAATGGGTTCCATGTGTCACAAAAAGCAGATAAACTATTCTTGTAAGTGAATGTCATTTTCTCTAATGTGATGTATTTTATCAGAAGGTTGGTCCACTGGTTTATGTGTAGTGATTTGTTTGATTTCCAATTTTGAAAGATTGTTTTCTTGGCAATAGCTAGAGAAATGAGGAGTGGGTTTTTATATTTAATTGGTAGGTGGTCGATATCTATGATATTAACAAGTAAGCAAAGTGATGGAGAAGGAGGGATTCTACAGCCCAAGATGGTGGGGAGTTTCTCTGTCACTGCTATCCAGAGGGAATGAACTGGTTGGCAGGTCCAAGTAGCATGAAAGTAACTGTCGGTGCAATCTAGAGTGCATTGTGAGCAGATGTTTGTGTCTTTGAAACCCATTTTGAACATTTTACTTTCTGTAATATGGGTCCTATAAATGGTCTTGTATTGTATAAGTTGTAAGTTTACATTGCTGGTCATACAAAAGATGTTGCAAATTTCTGTCCAGAAGTTGGAGTTGAGGGGGAGAGTATTTTCTTGGAGGATGTAATTTTCATAATTTCATCAATTAATTTGGAAGGCTGTAGTGGGTTATTGGTTACACTAATCTTTGACTTAATGATGGATTTTAGCTGATTATACTGGAGGAACTGTTCTCTCTGAACTCCATACTTCTGGATCAGTGTATTAAATGATATGAACTGGTGGGGCCACAGGTCTGGCACCATTTAGTGTTTCCAGACCTGTGGCCCCACATCAATGCCATAGGATTATCACTCCACTTACGGCCCCTAATTTTGCTGCTGCATTTCTGGCCTCTGGACTTCATTTCTCTGAAACACAGACTCTTCCCACGTGCCCTGAGGCTTTCCTCTCCTCGGTTGACTCTACCTGCTCTCTGATCATGGACTCCATCACTCCATCTATGATGAAAAGACCCAGAAACATCTCTGACCCATGGCTGAATGATTCTACCTGGGTATTGCGGAGACGTTGCAGACAGGCGGAGTGCAAATGGAAAAAGGATGGCCTGCATGTTTCCCTGGACATGCTAAGGGACAGTTTGGTCTCGTACCAGAAATCTGTTAAAGAAGCTAAAACTCAATATCTGTCTATCATTTCAAATAGTAGTCATCATCCCAGAGTACTTTTTAAAACCATTAATCAAGTCATTAATCCTAGTGCTGCCCTACCCACTGAAGGCTCAGTTCAGTTATGCAATGAATTTCAGAGCTACTTTACCGATAAGGTCTGGGCCATTAGACAAAACGTTCCTAAGTGTCCATCTTCTGTACCACCTGTTTTTCATGGTCTAGATAGGCTAGAATCCTTTGTCCCGGTCTCACTGCCTCAACTCAAAAAATATGTCTCAGTTAAAATCTGCTTTCCCCCCCCTTGATCCTGTCCTGCCAGGATGGTCAAAGAGGTTACTGATACTATTGGCCCCACTCTGGTCACATTCATCAACTCCTACCTTGAGCTGGGCATGGTTCAGACCACTTCTAATAAAGCCCAACCTTGATCCCTCTCTTTTGTCTAATTTCCACTCGATTTCCCCCTTACCTTTCTTATCCGAGGTCATGGAAAAGATTGTCCTTATCCAACTGCAAACTCATTTGGATCGGCTCAATATTGTTGACAGATTTCAATCAGGTTTTAAACCTCACCATAGTACAGAATCTGCGCTGCTGAAGGTGCATAATGACATTGCTTTGGCCCTTGATGCTAAACAGCCTGTCATTTTTGCTCTGCTAGATCTATCAGCAGCTTTTGATACCGTTGATCATACAGTTCTGCTCTCCCACTTAGAACATTATGCTGGCCTGAAAGGCCCAGCTCTGAGCTGGTTCACTTCTTTTCTG